TGAAATCCAGCTCTGCACGGGGCACTAGCAAGGTTCTCCACCTTACATGGGCTAAACCCGTTCCGGTTTTGTTCAGAGAAAATATTTCTTTGGAGCGACACGGCCAGGGATGCGTGCGGAGGCAGGAGAGGAGAGATGTTGCCTGGGCAACGCAGCGATGGGAGATGCTGCTGCAGCGTGTCCTTGATGGGGAGCAGGATGCCGAGCTCCCAGTGCCGTATCCTGCTCCTCCCCGGCTGAACCGAACAGAACCCAGGCGTGATGGGCAACACATGGCCCCTGTAAGCTTAGTTAGCTGGTCTGTAGTATTTTATCTGTTTGTAGCACTGTTTGTGGCCATGTTCCTCCATTTCCCTTCTCCCCGTGCGGTACGGGCTCAGCGGGTAGCTCACGGCCGCCGTAACATCTCCCTCTCCCCGCAGCTACCGGGCTGATGATCGGCTGCCTGATCTACCCCGACGGCTGGGACTCGAGCGAGGTGAAGCGCATGTGTGGGGACAAGACGGACAAATATACGCTGGGCGCCTGCACCGTGCGCTGGGCGTACATCCTCTGCATCATCGGCATCCTCGATGCTCTCATACTCTCCTTCCTGGCCTTTGTGTTGGGGAACCGGCAGGACAACCTCCTCCCGTCCGATTTTAAAGTGGAAAATAAAGGTAAAGGCAGCTAGGGCCGAGCTCCGAGCCCCTGTCCTGCTGCTGCAGAGCGTTTTGACCCTGAAGCTGCTCGCTGTTATTTGGGAGGATGGTGGCTTCCTCCAGGAGAGCCATCGTGGTCATCACGCTGCTTCACAGGGATGCAGAGAGGGCCAGCAGCAAGCAGAAAATGGATGGAGCGCAAGGCAGGAACCCACACCAAGCCAGGCTACGTTTCACACGCCTGGGGCTTCCTCTCCCGTTTTAAAAATTTTTTACCCCTTTTTGAAAACCAACCTGGAAAACACACCTGCACCTTCAGTTTTGTACCATTCCCTGTTAACACTGTGATTATCTTTTTGTTTTACAGAAGAGGGCAACGACTGACAGAGCCGCTCACCCTGTAAGCGATGCCTGCCATGATTTTTAACATCACACGTAATGTTGCTGTTGTATTTTTCTTACTAAAGGACCAACAACTGTATAGATTTTTGGTGCTGTAGTCACATTGGTTTTATTTGTGGTTAAAGGGGAAACAGTCTTTGCTGTGCCTCCTGAAACCACGAAAACAGAAATCCTTGCCATGTGACAAGAAAAAAACCAACCAAAAATTCAAATTTGAAGTCATACTCCCTTTGCAACAGCTGACGTAGTCTTTCTGTTCCCAGGGACACCCAGAGCTCTTCTTCCATCAGCTCTTTTCTTTAAAGTGACTTTTCCAGGAGCTTTAAACTTAGCAACCTCTGTGGATTTTCTACAACTGCTCTTTTCACCTAAGGGGCCACTGTTAGCTCACAGCTCTCATGGAGTTTATTTGATGGCAAGAGCCCAAACTCGACACAGGGGGTTTTGCCTTTTTTTTTTGTTGGGGAAGTGAAAAAAAAACCAAACCAAAACCAAGTCCATTGTCAGAAAAGGGGAGGGATGGTGATTTGCTGCTTCTTGGGGTTTGTACACCTTCTTTCAAGGAAATTACTTCTGAATTAAAAAAGAAAACACATTAGTGTTTTGCATTTTGTGCTAGTCTCCTTGGTGCAGGGGAAATCCTCTGCCACGTCCCAGGTTGCCCTTGTACTTGAAAAATACGACACAGCCAATTCCTAGCAAAGCCATGAATCAAACTTCCCACTCTGGGCAACAACCACCAAACATAACCTTTTAAAAAGGGCACTTTTCTGGGGAAAACAAACAAAAAAAAAATCTGCCAGGCAGCAGCAGGCTGCAACAGTACCCGCAAACCGCGGCAGATGGTGCCAACCAGCACCAACTCACATCACACCAGGCGATTAATCCCCCCAACTCACATCCCACCGGGCGATTAATCGGATTTAGCCATCATTTCTCATCACACCAACCCCCACCTGCGGCAGCCGTCGGCACAGTCCGTTTCTGCAGAAGACAAAAGCTCTTACCTGGTGAGAACCCCAAATTAGCCCGTTAGGATGATTTGCATTTCGACTTGCTGTGATTTGTTGGTTCCTGCAGCAGTCAGTTCAATTCAGTTCTAACAAACACCTTCCAGTTTTATGCTTCCCTCTAGAAAAAAGGAGTTTGGGAAGGTTTTGTTAAGACTCCTTGCTAGGGAAGACAGCAGAGAGAGCACAAACTTGGAGAAAACCGTATTTTAGAATGGGAAAATTCCAGCAGAGTTGCCCTGCTATTCACTGCTCTTCTCCCCGTTAAAACTGATCACAATACCGGCAACAAAACCTTCACCTACACCGTCTCCTCAGGTCTCATTCTGGAAATCAAAACTAAGTGCTCACTAGTAAAGACAATTCAATCAACAGGCCACTAGCTCAGAAAGAACAGACTTACAGAGGGAACATATGAGGAATAGGGCTGTTATTAAATAATCTGTTTATTGTACGGTTTTCACAAAGAAAAAAAAGACAAAGCACCCAAGTAGAAAGAATAAAAATGTATTTTCCTTCAGGTTTTAGACTGACACAGCAAGTACAAATCCTTTAGTGTGAGCACTTTACAGCAATTTGGAAATTTAACAAACCCCAAGTGAACGAGCACACGGTACAAGAATCCTGACAGCTGCTTCTGCAGGTCTTCAACTCACCAGCTGCCTCTAGCCTTGGCTATGACGGTAAAAAACCTCCTCCTCCAGTCAGGGGTGGCAGAGGGCAAGGAAGGATGGGAAGGAGCTCTCACACAGTCGAAACATGCAGACCCCTTCTAGGAAAAGTTCTTTAATCAGCCAGTCTCAAGTACACAGGACTGGGTGAGCTTTCAAGACAACAGAAATCGTTTGCCCTGCCAACGTATCTTCACAGTATGGAGACAGTAATTTTGGAACCCAGTCCTTCTGTAATGGATATGGAAGTGACACACAACTGGAAAACTCCAGATGATAGGGAGGGGGGGCAGGGGGAAGTAAAATCAGCAGTTTAAAACTCTTCTGGTATGTCACCTTCCTTTAGTTTTAGATTATATGCATAGTGAACCTGATCTACCCCTAAAAGAACATGCAGCATGATTTGCATTAATAAGCCAAATCAGGCACCGGACTGGAGAAACTCTTTTCAAGTGGATTAAATGACACCAGGGTTTATGAATGAACAATCCTTGCAAACCAGAATTTCCAAACACACATACAGAAGTGACACATAACAGTGGTCTTGGCAGCTTTGGCAACGTGATTGTCTCAGATAGCATCTGTGTGGCCTCCAGCATGCTCCTGCAGCCACTTCTGTCCTCCGAGAGCCACCATGAATCCAAAGGCCTGTTTGGTCCAGGGTAAGGAAGTGCCTCTGAAGTCTCACCGCTGCCAAATCCTGCTTTAGAGTAGAGTAGGATGCGCTGAATCTATAACAGGATGGGCAAGTCTAGAAGAAGCCATCATAAAACTATCAAATGCCACAGTGATTTAACTAAAATTAACCCATTTACTTGTTATATCCAACCCCCTCTGAGAAGTTTATATAGAAACCCCACAGAACGTTTTTACTTGGGGTAACTCTAGAAACAGCTTCTAATCTAGTATCTACATGGAAAAGTCACTTTTCATTCACTTCTGCTAGCTCTCCTTGTGCTAATGGCCCAGAAAATAAAAGGCAGTCCCATCCTGGGAAGTTATTTCTGAAGGCCAGCACCTGAAGCAAGTTAGAGGAAAAGAAATCTTTACATTGGGCCTTCAAGTGTTGATTTTGAAAGTCGAGGGCTATAGAGTGGCTGTTACACAGAAGCTGCCACCCTTTTCTTGGGAAGAAGTGAATGGTCAAAAATTAAGAGCCAGAGTAGACTGCATCAGCGAAAAACCAATCTCTCACGGATACAGCAACCGCCTCAAGCAAGGCAAAAAAGTGCCAGTAAGGGATAAAAACCAAAAAAACCCCAAACTTACAGCTCACTAAAATGTTAGAAGAGTTGCCTGCTACAAGGCTACCTCTCTGCAGCCAAATGGTGTGCTCATCTGTAGGCTGAAAATTGTGCGTTGAGTCAGTTCCAGCTTTTGCTTATTTTGCTTGTTGCCTTTTAGTCACAGGCACAGGCATTACGGTAGAAAACGTCACTGAGTTCAGAAACTATACTGACTATCCGGGCACAGGGAAGGGAAAAAGTAAAGGGGCAGGGCACTTTGGAGGAAGAAATAAAGAATACTAAAACCTAGATTTAAATAGCTCTTTTCAAAAGATTTAAGCAGCTAGAACTAAAAAAAGTCACATGACCGGAAAGCAAAGAATACAGTAGACACCTAGAAAATGGTGGAGGATTTTGAGGTCTTTGCTCTACAAGGAACTAACACCGCCTTGGTGCCATCTGTTACTTCTCACCCCATTGCTAGCTACTGGATCAACAGCGGGAAATTGGCTCCTGAGTCAGTGAGATAAGGAGGCGTTCAGATCTTCACATCCCCCTCACGAAGAAAGGAGAGTTGAAATTTAGCTAAGGGAGCATATCTGACCACAGGTGAGCTCACATCTGTAACACACAGTGCGTAACAGTGAGGAGAACTCGGGAAAAACTTCATATTCTAGTCAATTAGTCTTTGGCGAAGCCCCATCAAGGCAAAACACAGATGATGCCCACTGGCTGAGGAGAGTCCCCATTGAGTCACACAAGCAAACTCAGCAGAACAGGTTAGACTTTATCTAAAATCTTGGAAGCCTTGAAGGAAGAACTTCACACTGAAAATGAACAAAGAAAAAAAAAAAAGGATCTGGGAAGGGGCAGTTGGGTGCGTGTATGCTATGCTGTAAACCAGAGTGTAGTGCTGTGGCATTGGGTTGAAGCCTCTATGAGTTAAGCCAGGGGTGCCTGAGACACTCTGCTGCCGTAGCTCGTTTCTCTGGGATCAGCTCCAACATAGGTAATAAGAAGTCTGTGAATGCAGCTGCCTCATCTTGGGACCACTCATATTTTTCCACCAAGACTTCAAAAAGGCCCCAGGGCTTCAGTTTGGTGATGTGCTTCAGATCACCTAAAAACCAAGAGAGACAGGTTAAGTGCAAGGTGTGGGACCAGAGCAGCTGAATAAAATAGGCCGAGACAAGACAGACTGAATTCAGAAACTGTTCTGAATAGTTGGGCATAGGGAGTATAAAACAGCAGGGCATGCTGAAGGAAGAAATAAATTATACTAAAACCCCTTTTCTGTCTGCTTTTGAAGACTATTCTAGAAACGTACTTCCTTGAAGGCTGCTTTTCTCCTCCTCCTGCTACTTCCAAGATCAGCAAATATTGTTTAACTTCATTAAATCACCAATTATACCAATTGACATGACAGATAAACACTGTGCCGTTGACTTTGGAATACATGCCATACATGCAGTGAGGAAGCAATACACTACTAACAAAAAAGGGTTTGTTTTATTTAAAAAAAAAAGTATTAAACTAGGTCAAAAACTTCTTCTTGAGACTCAATACATTTCTGGTGTACTCAGGCCTTTATGATAATGGTATAATGTGTCCTGAGCAACATGGCTCAGGATGCAAGGCACTATTTTAGGTGACTGGCATGCTAGAAATGGAACAAAGCTGTCTACAGAAGACTTCAAAGGTGAGTCAACACCTCTGGTTGATGATGAGCTAAATAAAGTCTGAAGAAATATCTACAGTCCTGTTTTTCCACCTGCTGTGTTTGATCTACACCAAGATGTCAAGTACTAGGATGTAGGATACTTCTGGCAGCTAGACAAGGATGCCTTATATTTAGCTGCAGTTTTTCTGATAAAGTCTTTCATAAAACAAAGGAAAGACTTAGAGAGACATCTTTGCTAGCACCTATTGTTAATTGGTATTTCCAGCAAGGCACTCTTGTGTATTTGGAGCAGAGGATGAGGGGATAAGTGACATTTGCTTTGTTTCCTTTTACCTTTTTTGGTGAAAAACTCCTTGGAATATTTTCCGGCCAAAATGAGCTTGCGAGGTATTTTCCCCAGAAGTTCTATGATCAATGCAATGTGATCTGCATTTTTTCAAAAGAAAAGACAATGAGACACATCCACACAAGACACCTCTATGCCCCAGTTTTCTTCTCTGGGAAATAAGGAGAAATACATTATCTCCCTTAAAAAATACTTTGAGATCCACCTAAAATCCAATTACATTAAGCAGCCACAAAGTCAAGGGGCAAGGGGAAAAAAGGTAATGGCAATTTGAGGCATGATCAGTGGGAGAAGCAAGATAGAGAATCCAGTGGCAAGAGGAATGGGAAACACTAGAACAAGAGCGCGGACTTTATTGCACGGTGTTTTACTGCAGAGGCTCGAGCAGAGTTGGTGCTGATTTGGGTACACCATCTTTTTGCAAGGAGCCTTTGCATTGCTAACTCGTAAGGCTCATTCTGAAGAAAAACAACCATTGTATTTCATGTCCCATTTTAAAAAGGAAAGACTTAGACAAACACACCTTCATCCCGTGAGTAATCTTCCCCAGAATGAGGTTCGAACAGATAGTCTCCTGTTGCTAACTCAAAGGCCTAAACAAACAGAAATGAGCACGTTAAATCACTTTAATGCACTTCACACACTGTTAGATGTGCTGCAAGTTGATCCTGCATCTTTCTGCGGGTCAGAAGCAAAGCAGTGGGAGGAATAACCTGCAAAACTCTAGTAAACCATTACCATCTTAAGATGTGCAATTACTTTGCAACATTTTAACTGCATTAAAAAACATCATAGGCATATCTATGACAAATTCTGGATCACAGCATAACGCAGTACGCTTGTGTGAAACCGTACAAACTTAAGGCATTGCACATGCTTAGCCTTTCTTCTGCCTCAACGGCATTTTGTAAAATGACATGTCCTAACTCTAGTGGTTTTTTCCTTTTTTTTGTTGTACAAAGATTGTCCCTTCTCCCCAAGTTTCAGATATTAAGAGACATTTTTCAAACAGACTCCGAACATTTGCCTGTAGATATAAAAATGTTTTAAGTGAGAAAAACATTTGCATTCATTTCAACTCACCACTCCTAAATTCCCTGATATATTTACCCTTTACGTACTCACTTTTACTCAAAACAGTACCTCTGACCTTCTGTATTCTTAGTTTTCTTTATAGACTGCTGTTGTCAGACTACTGAATCAGGTGCTGGGACTAACCACTGCAAAATTTTGGCCACACATTCTGCAGAGACAACATGACCCTACCGCAATCTGTTTTACCACATTCATAAAAGTCACAGCTTGTTTTCCAAGACAGTGAAAATTACTTAACTCACTATTTTCCAAGCTTAAAAAATAAACCCCAAGCTTTGATTGATATCTCCGTTCTGTGTCTTCTACAAAAAAGGCACACACAGTAACTGACTAGACGGATTTTTTTTTTTTAATCACCATATTCTGCATTTGCCAGCTATTACAGGAACAGCTTCAGCCTCGTCTCAGCATTACTCAGATTATAAAATGATTCCAAACATGCAGAGGATGCATATGATTAAAATATGAATTTATACTGAAGACATCTGTGAAACAGTGCTGGATGCAGCAGAAAGGCTCTTTGTATAAAAAGATTTTTGTCTTCACAATTGCATAGTTGTCTTGTTCTTCCACAAACCATGTCAAAATACAGTTATATTTGAAATCTGCCGGTGCTGTACAACAAAACTAACTTTCAAAAGGAACGCCGCACATGGCCAAAAAAAAAGTATCAAAGAAACAACTTTGATATGGAAACATGGTGTTCAGCAAGTCTGGAAGTTGGCTGAACATCTGTGAGGGTTTTTTGCCAGGCTTGGCTAGCAATTCAGCAGTCCAGACTGCCCAGCACACAAGTCACCCAGAATATTCTGCAGAAACAGTTTAAAATCCCGGGGATGACACCACTCACCATACATGCTGTGCTCCAGATGTCAGCAGGGGTGTTATACCCCGATCCTATCAACACCTCCAAGGATCGGTACTGTCTTGTCTGGATGTCTTCAGTGAAGTGCTTGTGCTAAATAGAAGAAATGTTTTAATAAACAGTTAGAGATAGTTTAAGAGAGGAGACAACAACCTGGAAGGTCAGAGCAAATTAAAGTTCATTCCCATTACATTTCATCTGAATTCTACATCCTCATTAAATATTACCCTATATTCCTACAAGTACTGTTTAAATGCTCTACATGAGACACTTCTCCTTAAGTAAAACAGTCCAGCAATTTAAAGGAAGGCAAGCCACAAAAATAAAATAAGGGAAGACTGTTTCAGACGCTGCACCCTCTCCTATCCAATCACAACAGATAGGCCATCATTATGCTACCTTAAAGCAGGTATGCAACACCAACATGAGAGACCACCTTGCCAGACACTGCAAGCCCGATACGCAATTCTGAGTTTAAGACCCATCTCTCCCATAAGATCTGAAGTATTTTGCCATTTAAGAAGCCAAGTAAAATAGACATTTCTTCTATTTGAAATGTCAAACGTTTAAAAGCAGCACAGTATAAATCAAAGAATAAAACTGAGTCTCTTTCATGTGCTTATCAATCTACTGAAATGGTTTGACAAGCTAGTAAACCACAGAACTAGCACATCAGAGCAACTGTTTGCAACTTTCTCATCCTCCAAGAGAGCTACAGACTCCTTCAGAAGTTTCACATACAGATTTCTACGCATTATATGTGACACTGTGTACAGGTCTAATAGAAATAACCTAACAACTAGCGAGGCACACAGAACACAGGCTGAAATCCTACGTTATAGGACCCTTCCTTTCTTTGTGTCCCTGCTTCCCACTCTTTTTTCCCACCAATAGCTTCAAACTGTCACTACTTTCACAAGCAGGTCTAGGATAAAAATCTATTTTCCCGATTATTCTTCTATCTTGGCATACTGCGACTGAATTAGCAGGTTTAAACAGGCAATGTGAAAAGATTGTAAACTTACCACCCAGCAGGCATTTCCTAGGTCAGCTATCTTCACTTTGAGCTTATCTGCATTCTTGGGCTCAAGAGGATTAAGAAGGAAATTCCCAGCAGTTGATTTTCCTAGAGGCAACACGTACAACAGCTGATTAAGGCTACATGGACGGTTTCACCATCTGTCACCCAAACCCTATCGCCCTCTCCCGACCCAGGAAGGGTTTTGCTTAGAGATCAGAACTTCTCCCTCCCCGAAGCCTAAGTATAAAAAAATCAGCATCAGTCTGCATGATGAACAACAGAGCCACCACCATTAAGACCCGACTGGTGTTACAAAGCAGACGGAAAATTAAGCATATGCAAGAGGGACTGTTTCCCAGCACTCTTTGCACAGCCTTAAAAAGTCAGTCTAGATATAGACAGGCTTTGTAAATAAGGGCATCGCCAGAAACAAAACAAGCCTCTCAACCCTTAAGTCTTCCTAAATCTTTGAAGAGTCTACATATTATAGCATCTTTTTGACATACCAATCACTCACCGCTGCAACACAGACAGCTACCAGAGCTAAAGTGTATATTGGGAAAACCTCAGTGACAGAGCGGAGAGCAAAAATATTAAGTCACTAAGTTACATCCAGCTGCAGCTCTAAAGCAACTTGGGAGAAAGCCGTGAGAAGCAAAATACACCTAGTAATCTAGTAGCGGCATCCAACTAAATGCAGTTCAAGTTTCAAAATCTTTAAATTTCCCTTCCTACTTCTCATCCACCTAACTCCCCAACAGCACCTCTGCCAAGAAAATGCTAGAGAATTTTTTTTTAAGTACAAGTGTTAGTTTCTCCCTCCTTCTCCAAGCAGATATACTTCACCTGACCTTGATTCAAAGACACAAAAAAGGACAGTTTTATCAGTTGATCGAAGTTTTTAAAAAACACGCACCTGGAATGTGTTTAAACTGCTGTACATTGTGTGTCTTACATTCTCCTAAATCTACAACACCTACAGTTTTTTTCCCTCTGAAACAAATCATATTTAGACAAAAGCATTAAAGAGTTCTTCCCGCCCCCCCCCTACTCTTTATAAGCTTTGTTTCAGTCAGGCTGCATTTCCACTTCTAGGAAAACATTTCCTCATTTCAAGGAATTGAGGGGAGTTACCTGTGCTCCATGTTAACAAAACTATCAGAACACACCGAACAGCACTTACCCCATAATTTAACAGCCAGTCACAATCTGGAGACTTACATTTCTAACTGTTAATGAAAATCACATACACAACATTTGATACAAAGCAGGGAATGTTCCTATACTGAAAAGGAAATGCATAGGTACTTTTTAGAAGTGGGAATACTTATGCATTCAATAGTCAAAACTAAGTTACAACTACAACTGGAAGCTACAAACAGCGAGGGTCTCAGAGTAGGACTGCCAGGTTAATTACTCCTGGCAGGAAAAGTCTCAAACAGGTGGTTCCGATCACTTCAGCCTACAAAGTGGAGGTTTCTATTCATACTCTGATGAAGCGTTGTAACACAACTCTCCCCATGAGGAGAAAGGAGCCCTATCTCACAGGGTTCCTCTTATACCTTTGCTGTCCGACGGGCTATTATTCTCATTCTCGTCCTCTGAAGGTATCTCTGTCCGGATGCTTTCTTGCAAATGGTTAATCTCCTGCTCATTGAACGATCGCTCTTCGTTGGACGTGGGCTGACACACCATAGAATCTTCTGAAACTAAGGGCACGAACGAGTCCAACATTGCTTCTTGAGGCCTGTTCTCCGAGTCACCGTTACGCTGGCTGTAATTACAACTATGGAAGTCCTCCTTCTTCTGGGTATGAGGGTGACCGCCACAGTCATTGGCATTATGAAGGTCATCCTCAAGTTGCACAGACCCTTGATTGTTGGAGACTGGGAAGTCCGTCATTTGTATCACTCCATTGCAGTTTATTTCTGTTACACATTTTTCCACGCTGCTTTCCATTAGAACAGACTGCTCTTGCACAAGGACCTCAGCTGGAAGAGCGGAAAAGGAGAAGATAGCAGAATATGTCTAAACAAGGTAATAGCTGAAGCTCTTCAAGGGAGCCCTCAGAAGTAAGTAGTTCTCAAAATGTAACTGAACACAATCAGTCATTAATTCAGTTTGTGACAGGAAATTTCCCAGCCTCATTCGATGGGTAGAATGCAACACAAACAGGTTAAGTGACAATGGCCACCTCTACTAAAGCTGCTCACTCTGCTCATGCCAGCATGAGTGGAAGGACAACACTGTGCTACTTCAGCAATACTTTAGGTCCATACCTGTCTTCTTGCTGACATTTTCCTCCGGTGGACTAACTTTTATGAGCATTTCCAGGGGGCTCTGAGCTTCTTCCTCCTCTTCAGGCTGTATCTGCCCAGGGCTCGCTTCCTTCTCCATTTCCTCTATCTCTTGCATTCGCTTCTCTAACAACTCGGCCTGCCGTTTCTGCTTCTTTTTCAACTTCTTTTTCTTATTCTTTGACATTTTGTCAGCCTACACAGAAGCAAGCAGAGAAATTGGACTCAGCATTTCATATTTCAGTAAGTCTAAAATGCATCAAGTTTTAATTTATTTTAGAGCTGAGGAAAGCCCTCTGGGATGAAAACTCTGGAGACAGTTCTTCTCCCAAATAAAAAGCAGGTATTAAGGTTTCTGGAGCAGCAACTTTTATCAGTGCATTTCTGTCCTGACCAGAGAAACCTACAGTATTCTCCAAATGAGTGATCTGGGATCTCAGACTCCACGGACAACAGTCACCTTCACAACAGGCCTTGAGACCACCAAAAAGACTACTCGTTCTGGTCATATATGAGCTAATGCTACTTACATCTCCAAGAACGCATTGAACCTGATGCTTATGTGTATGGCAAACACAAATCACACTTTTCCTTCTGATATAAGGCTGCTCTCCCGTAATGCTGACTGCACTATGAAACAATGCAGTAGATAGTACAAGCAGATAGAGACTTATGCATGAAAGCTATTACACTTACTGGTTTTGGCTGTGGTGCAGTGCTCACTGAAAGGGAAAGGAAGATCAGCAAATTAGTATATTTATATTCAAAACCTGCAACTGCATTCTCATCTTAAGGTAAGCTTTTTCCTATGTGGTTTGGCAACAATATTTTGAAGATATCAGCAAATGTTATTTTGAAGGCTCATTTCTCCACAAAAGTACAGCAAGAATAAAACCAGAAAAACATTAAATGAGTAAAAGTATTGTTAAAATTCCAGATAGTAGACTTGCTTGACTGATATCAAAGACTTAAAACCTCTTGTCACACAGCTTCATTGACTGCATGTATTATGCATCTCAGTGAAAAGACAACACAAACCAAAATATTAGAATGCCAAAGTTAAGGGAGCCTCCCTGAGCTAAGCTATGATGGGCTCAGCTGAACATTGGTGGTGCAAGATTATGACTTGACGGAGCCTTCCAATACACACTGCAGTAGTTCTTGAAAACCACACATTGGTACAGATGGATATCCTGAGGAGGAACATGAGGAACTAGGAACAAGAGAAAATTTGCTCTCGGATCTTTAGGGATGTTAGCAGGTCAAGGAAGCTGTTTCTTTTACGAGTTTTTCAGACTTCTGCAAACTGACAACAGGTAAATCATCGAGACCTTCATGAAATGCATTGTGAGCATCATGCAATGAAAGGAAATAAACTTTTGAAGAAAATGTGAGAAATACCTCACAACGTTTTCACTTCAGCACTATATTGAGTGTATTAGCATTTACGCAGTCTGTGCTATACAAGACTGACTGCCCTACCATTTTATCAGCTCCAGATTAGCTGTGTTCAAAGCAGGTGCCAGGACGCCTGTATCCTTCCTCCATTTTTCTTATACAAACAACTGCCTGCCTGATCATCTTTGAGTTCCAACTTATGACTAACTTCACAATTTACAGGTGGCTTTTCAGAGGTTATTTGCATTATTGTTCCACTGTACTCAGTTAGGAAGTTTTCCCTAGCAAGATTAGTGATGATTTGAGGGTGCGGGGGGAAGGAGCACGAATTTTCAGGAAAAAAGCACCTGCAGAGCCAGATGGTGGGGGAGCCCCAGATCTTTGCCACTCCGTTGCTTCTGCTGCCAGCCTGCGGATATACTGGTCGTTAACACACAGAAGAATGTTCTCAGGTTTAATATCTGTATGGATGATTCGACATTTTGTATGCAAGTAATCCAGACCCTGAAGAACCTGCAGACAGGAGAGAAGGAAAACGATTGTTAGAAAAAGCAAAGAATGAGCAAAGTGAGAGTGAAGTGAAAACGGAAAATTGCCTAGGGTGACCAACGAACCTGAAGGACTTCTGTGTTTGAGAATATTCCAGATTAGCGCTAATGTGATCAGCGGTTATTACTCAGTTCCAGAAAAATGTAGATTTGCATACAGATTTTAGCTATGAATTTAAAATACTGTCTCTTCACCCTCATAACTTAAGTCACTACAGTTGAAAATCTGATCTTAATACCCTACAATAAAATTATGCCTTCCTCCTCTGCTCCACCTCACATGTAGAAAGATGTTTCTTCTCAGGCAACCATCCAGTAGGAAGAACAGGTTTCTCTTGCTCTTCTCATCATTAAACACTGAACTCACTGTGACAGAGTTTTTTAAAAAAAAACACAACAAAAAACAACTTTCACTTATGAGGAATAACCAGGGTAAGAAGAGGTTAAAAGCAAAGCCAGCCTCCCATCATGGTTTAAGCATCAGAAATATCTGTAGCACAAGGCTGTTGCAGTACAGAAAGAAATATTAACCCAAGAATGATTTTGTTGCACGGGAGAGACACCACTGATTTTTTACTTTTGTTTTCTTGGATCTGAGAAAGTTTAGTGAAAGAGTTCTCATGAGGTTGATAGGAACAGTGCAGTCAGAAGTGGAACTTACCTGTTTGATGATCTTTTTGACACAAGGGAGTGGAAGGCCCTGATAATTCGACTTGATGATCCACTTCAGGAGATGATGCCCTAGAACTTCAAACACCATACAGATATCTGGAACTCAAGTCAAGGAAAAAGGTGGACATCCTGACCCAAGGAGCCCTGAATTCCCAGGACTGAGGATCAAAAGAAATCCATGCAAGGTAAGTGTTCAATATTAAAGAACCCTTATCCTTCTGACACAGCTTAGAGAAGCTCCCTTCCTTAACAGCACCATCCTATCCTACACATCAGTGTCGTTACCTAAAACCTAAAATACAGAGGGATGGAGTTGGTTAGGACAGCGGTCCTAATGCAGCAGTAGAAATCTCCTGCTTTGAGTGGAAGCCAGTTACACAAGCAAGTGTGCATTAGTATTTCCTGCTAGTACTGAGACAGCTTCAAGCCAACAACATACATTTTGGAACAGCCTAGGCTCTTGCCCCAGGCAAAACTCAATGCCAGATCTGTCTGTACCACCATTACCTGAAAAGATAAAAAAATTTCCATTTCCTAAGTCATCTTTAGAACAATTCAGCTACTTTCTCTGCCCTCCCTTGCCTCTTTACCAGCAAAACAAACTTTCAACAAGCCTGAACTTCAACAATATTTACATTATCTGCTTTTTGTCTATAAAAATCTCAACAGCTACAGTCACTCTAGTGACATATTCAGTATTGTGCCTTTGCTTTAGAAGTCAGACTTCTGGGAGTTTATTAGGTTGCTCTTCTTCTACGGTAGCAGAAAGCATACATGTGTTTCACACGAGTGAAAGAAACACAAGATCAAGTCAACATTTACTTGATGCCAGATATCAGAAAAAGTCAGAGGAAATACATTATGCGGCTTCTGTTTTCTGAAAGTGTTAGAATGTTTATAAGCTACAGCTCAATTTTCTCAAGTAGTCTAATAATTCTGGAATAAAATTCAAGGTACCGCACAGCAGAAACATGCACTAAAGTCCAACTTTCAAATTTTAAGGGTGCATTATTAGGACGTGCCACAAATCACAGCCTATTAGGAGGCTGTTCACAGAACTACCGGCAATTTTCAAAGCAATACACTTTAAACATCCTAACAATGTCGATAAAGTCCAAGGTAGGATGCTTCCGTAACTAGAAAACCTTATTATCAAGATATAGACTGCATGCGTTTGCTATTTTTCATTACCGATCTTAACATTTTGTACTGCTTTACTGAACTAAGGGGTTATTACCAGGCTGCCTGCAAAATTGCAGGGCTGAGATAGACGGGCTCTCTTACCACAAAGGTACCTCGGACACTGAGTCAGTCAGCCCTAATTCGCAAATCAGATGCAGCCATCCCATCTCTCATGTTAAAAGCGTGACTCAGCAGTGCTGTCTCGATGACTTACACATATTATGTCAGGCCGATCATTCTGGATCTGAGCTTAGCAGGCAGTTTGGAGGCAGATGATTCTACAGCAGGTTTCCTTGCGCAGTGAAAGGGATGCCTGGGCATTGCTCACCAGCCCCAACATGAGAGCTACCCAGCAAACTCTTTATGCAATTCTTTGCCTTTATTCCACAAAAGGATACGAGAACCATTAACTCCTGAAATCTTGAAGTCATCTAATAACTGAACAACTCTCTCTTTACTTGGATCATTTGGATCACTGTTGCGGACCTGCAGAGAAAAAAAAAAAGGATAAATTTTATGTTCCTTGAGGTAATTAACAGGCAGGAATATACTTTGAAGTCAGATCTATTGCACTGCTGTTAGGTTCCTATCCAAATTCTGTGCAGCTAGATGACCCAGAAATAGCAAACATGTGACTAATGTGAACTCCCCAAAATGAATTTTAAAAAATAAAAATTGAACCCCACTCTCTGGCACTCACCGATTTTAGCAACTTGATTTCATCCAGTGCTGTTTCTGTGTAGTGCTCTGCACTCTTCACCACCTTCATTGCCACAAATCTCCTCCCTCTACGCACACACGATAAGTAAATCGGAGACTGTTAATGCTCATACAAAGAACTTATTCTTCAGGATTATCCTAATTCTTATGCATATAAGAGAGCTACTTATTTAAGGCATGATGGAAAAACAAGGCTTAAGAAGCACTCCTGAAGATTGTCTTTGGGTCCCTTTTTATAAAGCATCCATATTAGTCATTTCTCATAAAACGAAGTAATAGGTCAGAGACTGCTGAACACAAGAGCA